TGTATGCTCCCCTCATGTAAGTTTTTCCTGCTCATCTGATCAGTAAAATGTTTTTACACCAAAAAAAGTTAATATCAAAGGTAAACTATGACTCAAGAGAAGCCTAAAGGAATAAGGGAAGGCATGACCCCTAGCAGTTTAGGAGCAATTAAAAATAGGTAAGATTTTAAGCAAGTTTTCTTGATTTTTATACATATATAAATTGAAGAAACCTCTCTATAGAAAGAGTAATTCACAGCAATTAAACACATATATACATAATATGTAGGCCTTTCCATATATATATATATTTTTTTTTTTTATATATATATATAAAATCAGTAGGTTCACAAAGACCTTTACCTTACCTGAGATCAGATGTATATCAGCAAGTTTATGCTTTGAAGACAGTCTTCCTGGATGGCATATTTTTCCTTCTTGAGAGCACCCTTTAATAAACACATACAGGCAGAATTTTATACATTCATAAAGACACCGGCCATTTCATTTGCATATTCTTATGGGGCTTACTGGTAAAGAGGCATATGAAACATGTGCACCGTAGAAACCTGTTAATAAACAGAACTTCAAGTAACATTTGAGTAAATGTAGTTTCTACATAAAAAAGAACTCGTATTTAAGCACATCTTTAAATTTTTCAATACCACCTGGTTAGGCTAACATACACAGTGAACCACATCCAGCTTGGTAATTATTTATCTGCTTGTTTCTTAAAGTACGCACACCGAACATGCACTGCCCTCATTCCTTCCCGTAGATGTTCCCATGTTAACAAGCAAAGCATTCTTTCTCTATCATTTCTTCAAATTACTCATTTGTAGAGGCATGGCTCTCAGTACCTGTGTGCAGCGTTGTAGTAGCACAAGAAAATACCCCAAGCTGTTTCAACAAAGTTCACTTATCTCAAAACAGCTGAATGATGCTAAACCTGTGACAAGTTCACTTTTAAACCATGGCAGTACATTTTTAAAACATAAAAATACTAAACTTCCCCATACCCAAACAACCTAATGTGGGATTTAGCTGCATACAGAAATGTATCTCTAGCTCCAGTGGTGTAACCTTCTTCATAACTTAGTAGATATTAGCTCTGTAGCAGATTCCAAAATTTGGGAATACCCAGAATTATGAAAAACACCAACAAATGACCACTTAACTTCTCCAACTCCAAAGTGCCACAAAAATAGAATTACCATATATTTGTTTGAGGATGGACTGCTTGCTAGTGTTTATGGTTGAGCTGCTTTTGTTTATAGATTTTTGTTTTTTACATGAAGGAACTAATTTCAGAGGGCTATGGTTCAGCTGTTTCTTCCAAGCGACCTGGATGAAAAAGGCAGCTGTCTCTTGTCTCCATTTGTCTTCATCTTCTTTGCACTGTCGCTTAGTACTTAGTAGCTGGAACAAGTCCCGTCTTAGTTGGTAACTGGAAAGAAGAAAAGAGAAGAGCACTTGTCTTAAGTGACCTCCTTTAATTTCAGTATTTTATATGCATCAGTTCACATTGTAGATTACATGAATAACTGGGAAAACAGAATTCCCACTGATGTGCTAATTCAGTGGGTTGAGAAATGTTTGCTTAGCAGACAAAATAAGGCCTGAGTGTAACTCCAGTTGCACACAATTCCTAAAGTATAAATTTCACACAACTACTCAACTACAAGCATTATGCAAGTTATCTATCTTGAACAATGATTTTCACCCTGGGTGCCTTGAGATCTTTTCAAAGATTCTGCCATACAATATTAGTGCTGTTGGGTATGCAAACTTGATTTACAAGATAAACCCAGGGATTGCAAATAGGGATCCAGAGTGTTAAAAACATTGTTTTTTACATTCTTTGCAAAAAAACCCCAAACTACTCTAGTTAGTATTTTTCTATTGTCAGAAAATGAGTGAAAACTAAAGAGCTGGCATTTTCCAAGGGAGGGCCCTGAGACTATCAAGGAGTGACCTAAGAATAAAATAAGTCGAGAACTACTGGTCTAGAATACAGTTTGCCCTACTGAAGACTTTTTTTAGGGAGCTAAGAACAACAAAAAACATATGCACAAGGCCATTATCAATAATGTTATCTGATGTTCTTGGCATTTACAATTCAATGTAATGGCATAAACTTTTCTATGGCATCCTCTTGCATATTTGCAGTAAATGACATGAAATAGACGACACTACATGAGAACACATTAATTGAGTCTATGCCCTCCATGCCTACAGCATTTCTTTCTTCGCACACAAACCAAAGATTTATAGCCTGATTTTTTTATTGCCATGCAACTTGTACCATCATTTATCACTGTGGACATGGGATGTAAAATGTCACTGAATCAGATCTGTGATGTTTCACAGCCAGAGTGCTTCATGCTCTTGAAGATTTCCTCTCCTTTTCCTGCTTTCTCCCATTCCTGTTCTTCCAAAATGCTTTTCTGCGTATCATCTTTCTCTTAATTTGGTCTCTCCTAGCCGATCCCTGGACCCTATCACTGCTGGCATGATCTGGCATGGATCAAGTTCTGAGTGTGAGCTGAACTGTGGACTGTCAGAGTCCTTCCCCTTCATTTGGCTAATAATACTTGCAAAGAAAACCCTACCTTTATCCTTTTTTCCAATGTTAGTAGCTTGTGTAGTATTTCATTCCAAAGAATCCAACTGATTAGACCAATAATTAACTCCTAAACTGTTATGAATCTGCCCAAGGGAATGGAGACTGATATTCATAAGTTATTTACTGTAACAGTATATAATATTGTGTGTTGCAAGTCACAGGTGTTCGACAGCTTTCCTCAAGCCAGTCAGTTAAATCAGTTGTTTCCACATCACATAAATTATCAGTGTAGCTACCATTTTTTCAGATCCCTCTTAGAGGTACCAACAGAGAGGTCAAGGAGACAGCAGATGAGTATGCACACACAAAAGAGTTTCCTACCTTTGGCAGTAACAGCATATTTGTGCTGCTGCTGTCTGCACTATACTGGCTCTTAAAACAGGGTCTCAGGTAAAATAAGACAAAATGCAGGAAAGAAGCAACATCATTACAGAAATTTGCTGTGCCCCACCAAGACCAGAAAGGCCCCACTGTCTTCTCAGATGCCAACGAAAAATGAATTTGTAGTTTTCGGAGTCCCTGCCTGCCCCACGCCATATGTCACCTGTCCTCTGGCCCCCTCCCCCCCCATACCTGTGCCTGCCTCCCTGCTGCCTGCCCCCACCATGTCTGCCCTCTTTTCTGTCTCCCTGTGCCCCACCCCTACCTTCATAGTTTCATAGTTGGTAGGGTCAGAAGGGACTTCAGCAGATCATCAAGTCCGACCC